CTTGATGAAACATATGATTGCTTTCAGTTTATTAATTACCATGAATAAATTTGTAATAAATTATTCAAAGTAAAAATATAAAAAAAATGTATATAAAATCGAATATTCCAAAATTATTAATTATTTTAACAACTACTATTTCAATATTTAAATCGGAGAAACATTGTTCATTTTGGGAAAAATATATTCTATGGCACGATTGCAGTCATGACAAAAACCAAACAACACACTGTACATATTTTCAACGATTCGTGTCTTGGGATAATGAGTGTTCACCAGGAGCTGATCCACCTCACCCTAGTAAATGTACTGAATTGGAAACTGTTTTAATGAAAAAAGAATACTGCGAGTATAATCCTGATGAATTTTTAGATGTAGTAAGTAATTTATAAAATACCATATTCTGCCAGCATCATCGAAATTGGTAACGCATATGAATTTTTATAATCTGGATGTCATATCAACAGAAATTAAATTTCTGCTAATGCGGCATCCATCAAATCTTTAAAATTTGTATTAGTGCAAGCGACAAGAATAATTTATTAAAAGTAGAAAAAAACCGAACCGCATTCTGACTGGTAATCTGACGCACTAAGGGGCAAAAAAAACATGATGCCGGTTATCCAATTTGACCTGTGTATCCCTCTAACCCTTTATGTTACGGAGCACACTGGGGCAGAATACCTTAAAAGTTGATATTAATTCTAAGATACCATGAATCGAGTGTTAAAAGAATAAAATATATATAATATGTCAATATTTTGTAAATAAAACATAAAACATTATATTTACCAGAAGGAATGAGTCATTGTCGTCATCGTCTTCATTACTTTGACACTATGTGACTGTGGGAGGCACTAACAGATCAAAAGCAACTTTTGGTATGTTTTTCAGTTTCTTTTTAGGTTCCTTACTTTTACTTGTCAACAGTGGGTCTGAACTGAATAAAAACAAATTTAAAATGTCTTCATTGGATTTTTCTCGGCAACATTTCCTGGAATATTGTTCGCAGTAATTTGTGAAATCTATGTTACACGCCTCTTGCGCCTCTTTAGTCAGTTGGCCAATTGGCAACAATGCACTAGATACTATGTTTGCTGCTTGTATAAAAAAACTTATGTAGTGTAGGAGGCATACAGTACCAGCCATACAAATTTACAAAGTACCTGGCAGTATCATGTGTATATTCGCGAAATCGCTCGATGTTGATGGAGTGTCCACATGATAGTTCTATCAATTTAATATGCAATTTTATTATTAGTTCTACATCTAATTTGGTTATTTCTGCAGAGACTTCTGGATTAGAAAAATACCGCCTGGTAGTGCTGCCGTCATTAGAGTTTCCAAACCCGGGCTTAGTAATTCATGCTGGGTCAAACGACCTCTTGAAAATTTTCCATGCTTGTAGTCTACTCGTGTATAAGGACTCTCAATGATCCAAAGGGTAAACATACCGAACAGATCAGTTGTAAATGTCATTACTAACTTAATTTCAAAAACCACAACATTCACTTGCAACTGAATTCACAACTTCACACAATTTCACAATTTAAACTTGCTGACACGGTTCGAAATAGTAATTTTTTAACAAAATAAAGCCTATTAATTGTATTATCATAAAGGTAATTATGTCACCAACTTGTGCAATTCAGTCCCAATCTTCAGGTTTTAGACCATGCATTTTATGACTGAACGATCCTTGGGGTAAGTTCAAACTTCTCTATTAATAATTATAATAATGATAATAAAATTAAAATCCTACAATTAATTATTAAACGTTTGTTTATTTAAAAATTTCTTTACTTTATATAACAACCGGATGCTCTTGCTGTGGGTCGCGACCTAATTTTAAAAATAATCTCATAATTCCACTTTTTATTTCCAAATTCTTCTATTTACATTCACCCCAATATTGAATTAACTTCTGTAATTGAAAATGTTTGAACAAGTTTAAATTTCGTATTTACTATAAACCCACATAAATTGATCACGTTTTTAATTATTCTTCCAATCGTCCTCACCAACATAAAATGTCAGCTCCCTATTATCCTACATACTGGGTGACAATTTAAATACCTAATAATACACGCATCTCATGAACTAAAGATGATATTAGAAAATGCTTAAAACCATTTCTAGTATACGAATGAAAAACTAGTAGTTAGTGCAGTAAAAGTGGATATGATGATGACCACAGAATAACACCATAAACTATAAAACCGTGCAAGGGTGGCTTCAGGAGATGGAGGCTATGGGGGCCATGGCTCCTTCAAGATGAAAATTTTTACTATTTATGAGCCTTTTATTAAAAAAAATATGCTAAAAAGGGAATGGCTAAAGGCAATGACCCCCTCCCCGAAAATTCGTCTTGAAACCGCCCTTGAAAATGTCGTCTCATAAAAGTACCACACAAAAGCTTCAATAACACCCAAAATTTAATCAGTTTACCGCAGAATAAATTAAACCCTTAGTGTAAAATTTGGTTAAAATAGTTTAGAGTTATCGTAGATACAGATACGCAAACAGACAATGAAAAAATGGTCGAAACCGATTCAGGGGACCAAAACTCGTGAAAAATCATGATTCCTATACTTTCCTTACTGGTTACAGAAAAATAAAAGTAACTTAAAGTTTTTCGTTGCTATTCATAATTTTATGTAGGTATATCAAGCCAGATGATTACTAATATCTTACTTTTCTTAGTATACATATATTAACAATTATTTTCATTGCAGCCACAAATTATTGCTAGACATGGATACAAATCTGAAACACACGAGGTAATTACACAAGATGGTTATATTTTAGAATTACATAGAATTCCAAATTTAAAAGAACAAGCACAACCTGTGTTTTTACAACATGGATTATTTGGGAGCAGTGCTGATTGGTTGCTAAATGGAAACGACTCTATTGGTAATTCTCACTGATTTATAGGTAATTTTTGTTAGATATCGACATCGATAAAACAATGACAGCGATACGGTTTTTTAACGATAGTACTGTGTAATGGGTGCTGCATGCAACATACTTTTATTTTCTTTTATTTATGGTGAAAATGACATTGAGCACATCCCGATAGGAGTTTGTACTGCGCCGGTGCTCTCCCGTTTGTATATTATTTTTTTTTAATGCTTACCAGTTACTCGAGTAAATGCTGTAAATGCTGACCCTGGGCATCCATGCAATAATAAAGGTTTTGTTCAAAACGCTCACAGGGTGATTTAATGACATTTATCTATCATTCGTTGTCGCAGATTTTCCAATGATGTTGGATGGGTGACATAAATTTTAGTTTTTAAGTGGGCCCTTAAAAAATCTAACGGGGTTAGATCCAAAGATCGTGGGGGCCACTCATTACTTCCTTTTTTCCAATCCACTCACATAAAAATGCTTGATCTAAATACTGGGGTGGAGCACCGTCTTGCTGGCATATTAAGTTGTTTGCTATGTACTAATCGTCATTCTCAATCACCTCTAAGAATGCTGGATACATGCTGGATACATTTCTAATATTTCCAGATACTTTTTTGCGATTAAAGACCCAGGTAAAACAAGGTGCCAATTATATGGTTACCAAAAATGCCAGTCCAAACATTGAGTTTGTTTAGATGTTGCATATGTACTTCATGAAATATTCTGAGATTAAATCAAAATAATAATGGCAGTTGATACAATTTACCGTATACCGTACACACGTTAAAAAGAAAGTGCTGATCATTTATTGCCTGTTCAGTCATAATTTCACAAAATTGTAATCGCCTATCAAAATCGTTTTCCTTAAGTTCTTGCACCAGATGAATTTTGTAGGGATGAAACTTGTGTTTCTTCAATATCTTAATAACAGATGTTATCGCCAACTGTCTTGTACTCAATGTGGGTTCTTGAACAACATGCCCAAAAATCGCCAGCTATGTTACACTTATTAGTTTAACCAACTATCAGGTGGAATTCATTTACCAACAAAGTAGTGAATGTCATCTGTAATTTCAAAAATAATGTTACCAAAAATTGTTTAAGAATGAGTTTCAACTCTAGAACGAATTTGCGTGCGAGAAGATTCTTACACTAAAATCGAGAAAATATTTGATTTTAGACACCCTGTAATTTTTCCTTCAAATCATTCTGTTCTGTATCTGTATCTGTAATATGTGAAGGGTTGGTTAACACAAAGCACTTAGGCCTCACTACGTCTTTTGTACATCCTCCTAAGTAGATAGGTACCTCCTAGCTTGTGAGCAAATTATCCTGTTTGTAGACTAATGTACTAGTTTTATTTTTGGTAACTGTATGTTCAGTCTACTTTTATCCTATTGATTTGGATTCTCATTATTTGCAATTTTTTCTTTAATCTTCCTCCATTTTAGTGAATATCCCTTCTATAAAATATCTGTCTTGGAAAGTTGTTTCAACAGCCATAATCTCCTCATGTAATTTTCAAATACTCCCCCATGTCTTTTCTGCTGCATTTATGAGCCATTGATCTTTGGAGTTGATCTTATTTTCATCCATTTCCTTATATATTTTTTAAATGAGTTTGTTTAATTGCTCACATTATCGTTTTTGTTTTTTAATCTCGTTTCTTGATCAGTGTCCTCAAGATTTAACTTTCTTCCTTTTAAAATTTTTTGCATTGTACCAGGTAGTCTCTGGTTTCTTCATTTCTTTTGTAATTGTTTGAAGTACGCATTTTCAAAGTAAACTTGCTCTGGAATCTTCAACTTTTGGATTTCATCATCATCAACTCTTATTTCATTCCATACGGCCTCCACTTCTTTGAGTCGCTTAGCTATAATGTCTTGGAAATGAGTCTTTTTTGGCGTTGGTTAGTGTTTGGACTAGTTTTTTTCCAAGGTTTTGCTGATTCAGTGCCAGTTGGTTTGCTGTCTCCATAGGTGTCAACAGTTTTTATTTCAAACTTTTGCTCGAAGGACCATGTATAATCGACATTTAGGGTTTTTTGTTAATTCGGGATAATACTACAACTTTTTAGTTTCGAATCGTTTTTATTTCTGAAATCAACCATTATTTATTAAATCACAGATCATAAACACAATCACCTAAATCATAACAAGGTCAACAAAATAAAATAAATTACTACAAGTTAGCAGTTTTGTACGTGCTAACTTAAAAGATCTAATTACGATTTTTAAAAATAATGTTGTTATACAATGAAATATTTAAATTATTTCATATACAGGATGTTCTTTTATTTTCTTGATGTTCAAGATTGAACACATGTTTAAAATTGCTCAGGCTTTGTTAAATAATTAAAGAGAAAAATTTTAGAAACTAAAAGGAAGAAGAATGATTAAGTCTGTAATTTTAAAATGTGTAAGATGTGGAAGGTATGAAACCAAGGGTTTTGACAGTGACAAAAAAATATGATTTAATAGATGTAAAAATGGGCGATGTAGTAATAATTAGCAACGAGAAGATTAGAAGAATGGAATGGCAATTAGCAGTGATCACAGAGCCCTTTGCTGGAAAAGACGGAAATATTCGCGTTGTACGCTTAAAAACTTCTTCAGGTTTTGTCAGAAGATCCCTAAAAAAGTTATACCCGTTAGAAGTCAATTCAGAAACAGAAATTATTCATTTAAGAAGATATTTTAAGAATAAAAAGAATAAAGTTTATGTATTAGATGAAAGTACAAATAATGAAATATCATAGTCAGTCGATATGGTAGAAGAATAAAAGTACCACAAAGGTATCAGTCGGCAAATTGACTCTTACTGCCGTTATCGACTGATGGTGTGGAATCTAGAAAGTGAAGATAGTAGGTTTATTTCAACAGCTAATCTGATCATCAGAAGGACGTCAGACGTATGCGTATTAAAAATATTTCGTTCCTACAGAGCCACGGATGAACTGTCAACAAAACGTTCCAACGTATTTTCTGATTTGTACATGAACGAGTTGGCGGATTGTCAAAACGATCAGAGCTTCATCGCTTGTACAATTTGTCAGCACATGCGCATTTGAACGTCTCTTCTCGTTTGTGCTATTTGTTTGTAATTGTTGGGATTTTAAGTTAGCTTGGAGTGGCTTGGGTTTCTATTTCTTTCAATTGAAATTAATAATTTTTGGTTTTATCTTGTGTACGGTTTTTTATGTAAAATACGTACTTTTTTTTAATAAAAATAAACATCTTAAGGTTTGAAAATTAGACATTCACAAAGATCGTTCGAAGAAGCTAAATAAATGTATTTTGTTGTATTGTAAATAATTTTTAAAATACCTATTCATCAAACATGTGTTTGGTTTGTCAATTCCATTGCATTTTGCGTTCCAACAAGTACAAGTCGCTGAATAAACAACGGACGAATAAGCAGTATGACATGCGCAGTGATTAGTTTACGAAAGTATTCATGCACGAGTTAGAGCCACATCAGAAAGGAGCTGTTGACAAACCCATTATTGGTATATACCTTAGGTCTATTTTATAGTCTTCTTCACGTATTATTAATGTCATAGAGATTATTGATTGTCAATGTTATATTTTAAATAAATTCGTTTTGAATTAAATCAAATCTCCATTAATTTTATTACTAGAAGTGTTTATGTCGTGTAGAAATTGATCCATTATGACTACCCAACATTTTGTTTTAATTTTTGTTTAATGCTTTGTTAAATTTACAAATTAATTTTTTAACAAAACTGAACGATTTTTCTCATAAATATCAGATAACATAAGTGGAATATGTATTTTTTAGCATTTCTGTTAGTCGATCATGGATATGATGTATGGATGGGAAATTCAAGAGGTAACACTTATTCTGATGGCCACAACTCGTATCCAAATCATAACCCGTTATACTGGAATTTCAGGTTCTCTTTTTGTGGATATGGGAAAAAACTTGTCTGGGTTCTTAGAGTAAAAATGTGCATTCCCAAATTTTTAAAAGTTTATTTTTTCTAATGTAAATATAAAAAAGGAAAGTTTAGCAATACATTTATATTCTTCCTCGTCATGGTTCCCCTCGAATGGCGCCAGGGTTTTGGTGCACTACCTTCGGTTTACCGTTCGGATCTTGCTTATACGGTAAATGACATCATTAATGTTTTTCTTAATGAGGTACGAACCTTTCCAAGAGCTCTAAAGTTTTAGAGAATAACCCTTCTGCCTGTTTATTTTATGAAGCTTGACTTTGTCGCCTTCCTTGAAACCCCCTTCTGTGGCTTTGGTATCGTGACATTTCTTTATTTTGTCTCTGGCTATTTGAAAATTCAAACGAACCAAGTATGCATATCGTCCATTTTTTGTCCGAACAGGATCACATAAACTTTACCAGCCATGTATTCTGCAGGTAGGTATTACAACTCGAGTTTGCACAGTAGTTTGATCTTACGTCTGAACAGGACTTGCTGGTGTTTGTCCTATTAATTGATTAACAGTGGATATTTCTTACATCTTTGGAACTTTTCATCCAACATAACATTTTACGAAATCTCTGAGATATCCTGCAGTTAAACTGACGTGTAACTGAAGTAGTATTTTGGCTACTCTAGTCTTTGTAATGAACAACTATATTCTGTTTTGAAGTACTCGCTTTAATAAGTCTTCTTCGAGAATAAAAGAGTCCACTGAGACAAATATGACTTAACACTGGAGAGAGAGATTTGATACTTCTTGCCACGTAGGTCGACAATTTCCTCTTTCTATAGTCGCATCTTCTTTAAATCGGGATAATTTTTTTGCTCATCCTTAAGTTTGTCAGGATTCATTGCACCGTTGATTACAGTTGTTCTTAGTAGCCCAATTTCTTTGGATTCTGCTCTGTTCTAGTGAAAAGGCTGCTGGGTACGGTATTCTGGAAAAATAATTGGCATTTCTGTAACTTATTCAAACTTTAATTCGTACTCTTGGAGTCGTTTAATCCATCTAGCGATTTGATCATATAGGTTTTTGATTTGAATCATCCACTTAAGGGCTTCATGATCGACACTGATTAAGAATTTCCTTAAGTACTGATACAAAAATTTCACGTACTTCACAACTTCCGGGAGTTTTCTTCTGGTGATGCAGTAATGACACTTAGGTTTCGAGGGCACTTTGCTAAAATAACAGTACTCTTTCTCATCCTTCCTAAATTCGTAAAAGCATTCCTGCAATTTCCAACATTACTACCATCAGTACCCAGAATAAATTCTACCTCTTATAGTGGGTAGCCTAGTACTGGAGCTTCTTTAAAGTTTTAAAAGCAGTTAGACAGTCTTTGTCCCAGCAGAATTGTCTCGCTTCTTCTGTCAGTCGTATTTATGGTTTAGCAATATCTGTAAACTTCCCTACTCTCTTCGGTAGTACGTACACAGCACAAGAAAATCTCCTAATTTTTATGTTTATCAGTTGTTTGTAGCTACTTTTGGATACAAGCGACTTTCTCCTTATCTAGAGTTACACCATGCTTTCTGACTGTATGACCCAATTAATTAACTTAATAAAATAGCTAAGGTTTTAAGAACATCTATGTGCTTTATATGTTTACCAAATATCTTCCCCATCACTCTAAAGTCAGCCAAGTACACCAGGCATGTTTTCCAGGATATATAAATAATGTGTCCTAGAGGGGCTAGGCTCCTGTTCTCTTTCTAGATCCAAATTCTTAGTAAATCAATACCACTTTCATACATACTAATATTTGAAATGTCCCTTCATTTTTCCTCTGCTGTACTTCTTGCTAATTATTCACTCCTGCCCTGCGTATGTCTTTTTTTACTTTCTTAAGCCATCCTTATCTGGGTCTCCCACGTCTGATTCTACCTCTGGAATCCCATTGTTGCATTGAATGTATCAATGGTCCATGTCCTGCTGTACAAACGTGTTCCAACTATCTAACTTTGGATTGTGTTCCAGGATAACATTCTCAATTCATTTCCTACAAGTCTTTTAAATGTCACAGGGCCATAACATAGTTCAAATAGCACCAGATCCGGTGGTAAAAGCTGCCTTTTCTTTGTCTACTGTTTCCGTTTTCACCTGTGTCCAAGGTATCGTCAATTTAAAGTAGACCTTTCTTGGTACCATTGTTCAATTGACAATAATCTATACAGAACTCCGTAGTACCATCTTTTTCTGGACCAAAACTACTGAAGATACCCATGGGTCCTATCAAACCAAAATTGTTAATACGCCCCTTTTTCACCTGTACTCTTCATATGTTCTATAGAGGCAACAACTTCAGAAATCGAACTCGAAATAACTGAAGTAGTGCACCTAAAAATTATTAATGTAGTGCTTTACTTTCCTAACCACAGGTATATCGTTTTCTAAAAGTTTGGGAACTAACTATTTTGTATTAGGTTTGAAATATATCTATCCTGCATCTCTTTATGGGGGAAACCAGGTAATATATTTTCTTTTGGTCAAATAATTATTTTAGTTGTATTTTTTTAGCTTTCACGAAATGGGAGTGAACGATTTAGATAAAGTTATCATGTACATAGTTTTTGTCACAAAATTGCCTGGTGAACTTATTTACATGGGCTATTCCACTGGAGCAATGTTAGGGTTTATATATTCAACAACAATGCCAATATCCGAACGACTTATCAAACTCATAGTTGCAATTAGTCCTTCCGTTTATCCATCACATTTGACGTCACCCATAAAATATTTAGCACCTTTTATTGATGATTCAAAGGTACCTAAAAAATTAATAATTTGGGATCAAATTGTTTTTGATTGTGTTTTGCTTAGATAATACTAATAATGCTCTCCCTATAATTTATCGCTTTATAGTCTGAATAAAAGAGGAGTGCAGAAAAAGTGGGGATGTAACATCACATCACAAATAAGTTTCTATAATATAAATAAGGTCACGGCATATACGTACTGTGATATTTTTTAATGTGGGATCCCAACTTTCAATTAAAAAACCAAATTATAAATGTAGGTGTATATTTGAGGAGCCTAATTTGAGATAACTCCGTACATTAACGTATATGTAGCGCCAATTAACAAAAGTGGCGTAAACTTACTCAAATAAACAAGACTGCAGTGGTAAAGGGTCCGTTGAGCACGTCAGTTTGTTTATTTATGTGCACGTATGTTTCTCTTCTGATTTGACTCGTAAAGTTTTTTTGATAATGTAAATAAACTGGCATTTGCAGTCAACGTAAGTGGAAATAAAATATATTATGTGTCGGAGTAGTTAGTTTAGGTGTTGCCTAATGATGTCTTATTAAAATTTGGCTGTATTCTTTCATAACTAACCTAAACTAATGTCAATTTTTGTAACGAGAATTCCTAATTTGAGACCATAAATGAGACTATCTTAAATTAGGCACCCAATACAATATTTTAATGTTTTATTACAGTTGTCTAAAAAATAGATGGGGTATCTAAAAGCCTCAAAAGTATTTGGTGTACCTAAAGGCACTGTGGAAAGACTTAAATTCAGATAAAAGCCCAAAACAACTATCGGTAGGCCAAGCAGTTTTTCTGGAAAACCAGAAAACAAACTAGTTAAATCTGCATTAGCCATCGAACAACGATTTTTTAGTCTGAAGTCCGGCGATATTTTACTAATGGCATTCCAACTTGTAATTAGGAATAAGTTGCCACATCCATTTAATGGAAAAATAGTTGAGGTTATTTTTGAAGAGCATCCACAACTTTCGATGAGAACACCACAAAGCACATCTTCAGTTCGTATCAAATCTTTCACTCCCGAAAAAGTCACAGTGTTTTTTGGTCTCTATGAGGTAGAAGATTCCAAGCTGCTAAATTATTCCCAGGTGTTCAATGTCGACGAAACGGGCATTACCATCGTTCAACATAAGCATAGTAAGGTTTTACGCAGAGGGGAAAAAACAGGTTTCCACATTAACCTCCGCAGAAAGAGGTAAACCAATCACTGTAATGACCTGTATGAATGATGCAGGAGTTTATGTACCGCTATTATTCATTTATTCACGGAAAAATATAAAGGCTGAGCTAGTGCTTGGTGCTCCAACTGCAGCCGTAGCTATGTGTCACATTTCTGGTTGGGTTCAATCATATATTTTTACGAGATGGTTGAGTCATTTTATAAAATTCACAAAACCCACAGCTGCTGATCCTGTTCTACTTGTGTTGGAGGGACACTACTCCCATACAACAAACATTGCTCTCATAGATTTGGTAAAACAAAATTTTTCTTCTGCCACATTTTACCAATAAAATGATGCCTTTGAATGTTTCGTTTATGTCTCCGTTAAAAACCTATTAGGCTCAGGAGATAGAAAATTGGCTTTGGGAAAACCATTTAAGTACTGTATCCCCATTCGCAGTTGCTAGTATTTTTTTGCAAAGCCTACAATAGAGCTGTCCTTACGGAAACATCGTGCAATGGTTTTAGAAAAACGAAACTAGTTCATTTGAATAAAAACATCTTCATAGACCATGATTTTGGCGTGCACAATGTGATGTAAATCAAAACAGGCTTTCAAGAAGAACATCTCTCCATAGAATGAAATAGTCAGGAAGATCATCTGAAGAATCAAAATGAAAATGAAGCAATGCCTCTATAAGGCGCGCCGGAAAGAAATGAACGTACACCAAGTCCATCCTCAGCAAATAAACTTTAGAGTGACTTTTTTTCTCTCACGGATATTTGTTTTTTTACTGAATATAAAACCAGAGAAACTTAGGTGAATTTTAGGGCTGGTAAAGCATCAATAATTATCTTATCACCTTACAAAGATGAATTAAAAGATAGTTAAGAAAAACAATCAAAGAAACTGTGGAAAGATCTACTGCAGTTGCACGAAAACGTAAATATTCAGTTTTAAAACAGAAAAGAAAAAAACGCTGGAGTTCTTCTAGTTTAAGCTCAGATAGTGACAGCAATGTTACATTGGGTAATTCCTCTTCAGCCGAATCCGGAGGAAGTGATGGGAGATTTTCCGAGGACAAGCATGGCGAGCAACGAGCAAAATATGTTCACTGCGACAAATATGCCTTTGAAGATTGTGGGGAAATTAAAGATACTAATTATGTGTTCTTTCACCGAAGAAAAGGGTTTTTTAGATAAGTATCCTAAATTAGGAAAACTGTCTCAAATTGGGAAATCAGCGTGTCACAAATTAGACAACCTTTTATTTAATGGGAAAATTGACAAAACAAACTTTAAATTTATTAACTCTCCTAGATAGCCATTTTAATGAAGATTACTTGTTGCGATGTGTTATTAATACACCAAGTTAGCATTTTTGAACAATAATAATAAAAATTTGTTCAACGATGAATTTTATTTCAAATTTACAAAAAAGTGTCTCAAATATGGGTCTGTTCATCTACGATACAACTACGAATAAATAGAGTCTGACTTATCTGTCAAAAGGAAAGATTTATTACACTTAAACCATAGAAACATGATTAAATCTGAACGAAAACTTTCATTGGGCCAATTTTCATTTTAACTACAAATCGGCATTGAAAAGTAGGTGTAAATAAAATATCTACCTCTTGAATCTGTACTACGTTCTAAAAATTAAATTACTGCACTCCATTTCTCTTTAAACTATAGTAATGAATTTTAATTCCTCACGCCGCGCGCCCACAGCTTGTGTGGAAAAGGGGTTGCTATTAATGGGTTTGTTTTAGTTTAAACAGAACCGTCGATTCCAGTTCCCAATTACAGTGGACGAATTATTTTTTCAAGAAAACGTCGCAATAATTTACTGATTCTGAACTAGTTCGTAAAAGAAGCAAAACAAGCCTAAATTAGCTTCGTTTGCTTGTGGTAACAATCCTGAACTGATTCTGAACGTAAAAATAACACTGATATTTGTCTGAAACATGTTTCTTCTTCATTCTAGGTTTGTGTAGGTTTCTTTAATTATTGCTACTGTCTTTTAGATTGTAAAATTAGGCAACAGAATGATTTATGCTAATTAATTGAGTCACAGTACCAGTAGAAAAAATGAAAACCATAAACAGTGTCGTCTTTCAGAGTCCAATCGCTTGGTTTGAATTTTATTGTGTATTTTGAATTTTTTGTGCAATCTTTTTTAAGATATGGGTAGATAACATAATAAATTTTCATTTATTATTTATATAAATTGATTTATCCTCGTACTGGGGTGCTGTAACCCTACAGCCCTTATGGACAAGCCACCAATGTTTTATTTAAACTATCTCAAATAATTTTCTATTTTCTAATTCTAGAAATATGGAAAACTTTTGTTAAGAAGTTTAAATCTTAAAGAAACGGTTGATGTTTATACCATAGCTCTACTCGATTTTGTATCTTTATTTACCAATATTATCCCTAAGACCCTATATTATATAACATGTATTTTAATAAAAGTATAATAGTGATTACACGATGATGGCACTCTTTTAAACATTTTATACTAAAATAGATTTAAATTTAATAATTTTTAGTGGGTAATGGAGAACCTAGGAATGCACCAATTTTTGCCTAAAAACAAAATTTTAGAATTGCTCTCAATGCATTGTCGATTACTAGGTATTCAAAAAATAGTTTGTGATAACTTCATTTTTTCCATTTTCGGATACAGCGAAGAAGAATTTAACGTAGTAAGTAAACCTAGAAATTAATATTTTTGTATTTATATTATAATTTTTCCAAGATAAAACAACAACTAGATAAATAATACAAAATATTCTATATTTTTAATGAAATAAACAAAAACTCTGTACGGGGTTTTATCGCCACAGAGAAATTACGAATGGCGCTTATTATGGCCGGCTTTCGGGTGCCAGATTTTTTAATTATCAAAGCGGCGTCGAAAGAACTGCGGTAGCTACAGATGGAGATGAAAAATTCCAGGGGTCAAAGGTTACGTAGACCCAGGTAATCGGTAGCCAGGGCTTTAATCCTTGCTTGCACTGATAAAGAATATTTCACTAGTTGAACATTAAGGAAAAATAAAGCAAGTGATTAGTATGACTTTAGTAATTCGGCTAGATAACATTGACATATATTGTTTCTAAATAAATACAGCATAAATAAAATATACTAAAAAAAAAATATATTTCAACGCCCACCTTCGCTGTAATAATTAGTATAAACCCTGAACAAAAATAAAGAAACAAAACGGCCGGTATTCCAATCCGAATAATCTCAATCAGACTGTCAAATTAAATTAAAATAAACTGTAGATGCGGTCGCGTTAAAAATTTACTATTAAATTGTCTACTTGTTTGCTTAGCTAAAAATACGGCTGGTGGTTTCGTTAGATGAAATGATTGCTCCGGTCTTAGCAAAAATCAACTACTTAAATACCCAATCTGTAATTAAACTAAAATAAAATTTACTATTTGAGTAAGGGAAAATTATATGAGCGGTCGTAGGAAAAATTAACTAACTGGCTGTCGCATGGTTAATTAAACTGAAATATACTTTACTATTTCGGTATGGGGTTAACTTAAACTAGTGATTCGAAAGAGTATATAGGATATGTATGCGCAAAATGTGCAAACCCCATGTATGTGCAAAATGTGCAAACCCCATGTATGTGCAAAATGTGCAAGAGCCATGTATGTGAAAATATGCAAGCAGGTATTTGGCCGATGACCTCAGTTAAAGACCCTGTCTAGACACATACCTAGACATTTAATGAACATTCCAAAATGTCTGACTTTCCTCTATTTGTTATTGAAAAATTATCACATAACCTTTAAACAAATTAATATAAAAATAAATTCCAACTACCATGAATGCTAATTACCCCTATGAGATTTTTAAATACAACTTACTATATAAGGTATCCATTAATATCTTGAGCTGAAAATATTGCAGACATAAAAATGTTATCGCATTATTAAGCTTATTCATGTAAATAAGGTTGGTAATTATATATCCCATCCTGTGCAGTCAACTAATGATAGACATTGCATTATATTTTTTCTACTACCGTGCGTAAAGTACGTACTTTACGCACTCCACGAAGTGTGTAAAGTTGTACTTTTTTTCACTAGTGCGTAAAGTAAAACTCTTTACGCACTAGTTAAAAAAGTAAAATTTTACAAAATTTGTACATAACAACAAAATATAACGTTTTATTTTATATTAACATTTTTTTGCTATCTCCTTCTAAGACAAATAAATAAATTATTTTTGCTTATATCTATTTAGTGTCCAACAAATTATCAACAGTTTATTTTAATTATAATTTTCTCTAAACGTCATCGATTTAATTAAAAGTAAACATACAGTGGATGTCGATTTTGGTAAAAGTAAGTTGGCCGTGGCTGTGTGGATTAGAAGAACTGTCAATCTCTAAACTTTTAATTAGTACCTACCTTATAACAGAACACGACAAAAGTATACTTAAGTTCAAGATTAGATTCTATAGCCAATTTAGCATTTTTTTAAACTCAATCAAGTTTGAGAAGGTAAAAAGTTTTACTTTTTAATGTTTGTTTACTTAAATTCAAATTTTATTTGCAGTTTATTATATCTGTCATAATCGATATGGATTCAAATTTATCTAGCGATAGCGAATTTGATAATACTCCCCCAGATATCTTATGCAGTGCACAAAAGGCCACTGAAAATTTATTGCCAGAAAAATCTGCATATATTTATCAGCAAAAATACAATGCATTTATAGAATGGTGTAGGAAGAATAAGGTGACAAAATATTCGGAAAACGTTATTTTAGCATATTTCTCTGATGAATTGAAGAATTGCAAAGCTTCTACCCTATGGTCGATTTATTCTATGCTTAAAAGCACCTTAAAATATAAAAACAACGTTGATATTTCGAAATTCAACAAGTTAATAGCGTTTCTCAAACAAAAAAATAAAGGTTATAAACCAAAAAAATCCAAAATTTTTGAACGAGAAGATCTAATTAATTTTCTGTTGAAAGCTCCAGATTCCAAGTTTTTAATGATCAAAGTAAGTAAATGCCTCAGTAAATGCTTGAATGCTCAGTATAAAATTAAAATATTCTGTAAAGTTTTGCAACTAGATGTGTGTTCGTATGGTGTGTTGCCTAACAAAATCAGTTGCTGTCCTAACAGGCCACCGGGGTTGTTAGGCAGCACATTATACCTAAAACTTTTATATTTTTTACAATATTTGGAGTTTTACATGCGCAACGTCAAGATATTTCCTAATGTTTAATAAATTATTTGTAACATCACAATATGTTATTTTTTAGGTAGCTTTTATAATTGGAATTGCGGAAGCTTGTCGCCGGGAAGAATTATGTAAAATGACAATTAGCGATGTGGAAGATAAACAAACAGTGTATATTGTCAAAGTATCAGAAACCAAAAATGGAATAGAACGCATTTTTACGATTTTAAATCCAAATAATTCTGTAGTTGATTATTTATCTTTCATAAAAAAATATACCTCATTAAGACCATCAAATATAAATTGTAACAGATTTTTGTTAAAATTCGCAAATGGAAAATATTCTAAACAGCCTGTAGGGATAAATACTTTTGACAAAATGCCAAGTGTTATAGCAACGTATCTAAACTTGCCCAATCCAACGGCTTTTACAGGACACTGCTTTAGGAGGTCTTCAGCCACTATGCTGGAAAATTCTGGAGGAGACCTTCTAACGGTCAAAAAACATGGAGGATGGAAATCATCTGCTGTTGCAGAAGGCTACGTAGACAGCACAATAACACAAAAAAACAAAATTTCTAATAAAATTTTGATGGATGACAGTATGCCATCCACTTCCAAACAAAGCTACAATTTTACCGTTGACAACTCTAATGAAGAATTAGTGGAACCAATCGACAGTGAAACTAGAGTTACACAAAATATTTTAACCTCTTTACTTGAAAAGGCCAAATCCATACCACTCGAAGCTCAAAATAGGGTTACAGAAGTAATATCACAACATTTTTTAAACTCTGTGCTGGAAAAGGCCAAAACCTTAAGTTTTGGTAATTGCAATAATTGCACATTCAATATTAATATTCATAAGAGTTAAAAACCTATTTTTTTAAATATTTCTTCATTTTTTAGTCATTTTGTTCTGTAAGAATTATAAATTTGTAAAGTTCCAATACATTTATTTTTGTTGCTGTGTACAATTTTTGGCACATTTTACTTTTTTCACTAGTGCGTAAAGTAAAGTACTTTTTTTTATTAGTGAAAAAAAGTAACTTTTATATTTCGAATATTAGTGGATTATGTGTACGGTAGTAGAAAAAATATTGTATGCCACTCGTGTGTAAAGTCTTCTTTTTGACTCATGTGATTGTCGCCTACGGCTCGTGCGACAACATTCACATTCTTCGAAAAGGGTAACCTTACACCATTGATGCATAAATAACTATTTTATAGTTTCAGTAATATATATCTGCAATTACAAGTATTTCTTAATTTTTGTTTGAAACATTTGGGAAAATATTACTACTGTAGCAACAACTTTATCAATTTTTCGAGGCAATAGTAGGGATTAAAGAAGGGGGCAATTGCGATGCATATAAAAGACATACTTTGAAACTTAGTTACATTTTAATTACTTTGGCTACCTACATATAATGGCTTAAATCCATATAATTAGTGATGTTCTATTAAAAAACAATGAAAGTGATATCGGCAGCGACCTTGAAGTGCTGTACGGTCCTTTCTCAGACTTCAACCCCAAAAACTCATCTTTCAACCTCAAAAGAAAGTGCCAAGTTTCCTAAACAAAGTATGTTTAACTCAATAATCCCAAAGTTAATTATATCGGGGAAATGTATAAAAAATAGATTTAAAACAAGAAAGATATAGTGATATTTTCTCTGACAAGGAAGATGATATCCACAATAATACCAAGATAAATCAATTTTAAGGCCATTCCATAAGTTACTGTATTTATATTCTTTAAAGGTTCCATTATCTTGAGACCATCTTTTACTATATCTGCACTATTCTTAACGCCCAGTTGAAGAATTTTTAATGAACTGGTATAATATTGACCTTTTAATATATCCAAATGATGTGTTATCAATGGAAGAATATTCCAAAGGCTCATAACACTATTGGATCCCCAATAAACGCTGGAATCACCAGTAAATATTATAATAGCATTTGCCGCAATTAACTGTTTAAATTAAAAAAAAAAATTCCTATTATCATTTGCATCTCTGGGTTTGTCTGATTTTAGAAAATCATTAATTACGTTCTCGTAATACAGAAAATCTTGCCATTCCTTTTCGTTAAAGATCACTGAATCGTTATTGTTTCCAGATATCACAACACACGGTGCAAAGTTATTAATATGTGACCAACAAACACATCAGTTTTACGATTTGAAGACATTTTGTACTACTGTTCACAATAAATGTTCTATTAATATACTTATACCAAATCTCATGGATGGTATGTGCTCTAAATTATACAAACCTGTTTAAAAGTAAAATGGTGATGCTGGTCTTTTTTCTACTGTCGTTCACTTCCTTAGTCTCGAGGTCATCAACCGGTTTAACCACAGCAGGTTATAAACCGATTACATGTGTCTAGATAGAGTTATTAAATGGGGTCATCAGCCAAATACATGTTTGCACATTTTGCACATACATGGGTTCTGCACATTTTGCGCATACAGATCCTATCTACTGAGAAGTAAATAAAAGAAACCTTATACCCGGGATAGAACATATTCCAAGAATGAGCTATCGTAATGAGTCCGTTCAGACAGAAAAATTAAATTATTTTAAGTTTACTTAAATTTTTGATTCAGACGTAAATAAAGAAGAAACAAAAATTACTAACGCGGCTAGCACCTACACCCAGAAAAAACTTTGCTAGTGGGTATTAAACCTTTAATACCGGTTATTACATTTTTTAATACTATATGAGACAGGTAAACTTATTAATAGCAGCTAATGAACTTTTGTTCTTGGATCATTGTTACTGTCACAAGCAACTAATAAAAAACTTAGTTTAATGTTAGTAAATAATTTAATAACAGGTATTATACAGTTTAATATAAAACTAAATACTGTAATAGTTATTATTAAACAGCGTAATGATAGGCATTAAACAGCCTAATAGCGTTTAATTAATAAATATTAACAAATTATTATCTGCTATTATATGGTTTATTGATGGGCATTTGCAGGTTTTAATACTCCTTAACTAAATTGGCAATTGTCTTCTATTTCATTACAGTAGGAAATATAGCCAAATTTAAACTTTTGATAGTATACCCCACTCTTAAAGTAAATACGTTGCATAGATTAAATCTGTGTTACTCTAGAGCTACTTTTTGAAAATTTTGAAAAAGTGGCTTTAGAGGATTAGACATACTAAGGCTTTATAAAATAAATTTTAAAACTGGAGTACTACTAAAAGTTTGCATACAGATATAGTTCATATTAGATACATTTGCAAAAACCGTAGAAAACACAAAACAAGTTTGTAATTTATTTCTGCATCATGTTTTAAAAATAAGAATATATAATAGAGGTGAAAAAAATTAATAAAATATCTTCCTCAAAAACCATTTTTCAATTAAATTATCATAGAGATTTCATTATTTTATTTTACGTCTTGTTTACATTTAGGAATTATTTTTCTTTTTTAAAATCATTTATTATTATTAGTAAAATTACAGTATAATTACATACCACATAGTATATTTATATTAAATATATGTAGCTTCGGCTTTGATAAAGACAAAAATATTGGCACATAAGTAGTTGACATTTCTTATTTGCACGTCCTCTTCAACATTTTTTATATCCATAAAACCACATCCAATTTTTTTAAAACCTTTAAAAATACATGATTATCTAGTGAAATAAAATTAATTTTAGAGATAAAGCAAGCATACGCGTTTTTTGTATTTTTTGGAGAGTTTGTTAAATGGAACAACTTTGTTTTTACTGTTTGTGTTTCAGTTCTGATTTAATAGCAGTTTTGCTGCGCTATTTTTATTTTTGTCATGTTTACTGTTTCTTTTTGATTTGCTTTCTGTGACGCTTTAAGGAGAATCGGTTTTTATTTTTTTTATAAAAATTTTTTATAAGAAACAAGCTTCCATTTAAAAATATCATCTCATTTATTTAGCTATAAATAAAATTAACAAGTTGTAAATGTTTTTTATAAATCCGGTAAAAACAATCCGTTTTTTAATAAAATCATCTAAAAAAAGTTTTTATAATTTTAGCCAATGTTGCCGATTCTTTTAAGTAAGATGCCCAGTGGAGTATCAACCAAGACGATTTCTCAGTTTGTTCAAAGTATAAAACGTGGTGGCACTTTTCAAAGGTTTGATCATGGTGAAGATTTAAATTATAAGCTATATGGAACCAAACGTCCTCCAAAATACGATTTAAAAAAAGTAAAAACACCTGTCTATATTATATATTCAATGTACGATTGGTTCAGCAATCATACTGTGAGTATGATTTTAACAGGGCTTTACTGTTTTGCTATAATTTTTAAATTTTCTAATTTTAGATTGTTACAGTTTTAATAGTGTTACTCTGTTTTTTAGTAACTCAATTTATTTGCAACCTAACTTTTGCAACTATCAACATTAACGTATAATGTCTTTCATTAAACTTATCCGTGGATCATCAACTTACATGGATCTTTTAGACCTTTTTAAATTTTAAATCGTCCAGATGTTTCTTGACAGGCAATTAAATTTTTAGAAATTTTTAAATTGGTCACTCTTCTTCTTTTATTCATACTTTTACTTTTAAAAACTGCAGCACAATGTAGGGTGATAAATGACATTGCATTTCTTTTTTATTTGTACGGTTCCTACAACAATAGCCTCCATCTTTGCATTTTTTTTAAATAAGTTGATTATTATTAAAGTTAATTTATTGAATGTTATTTTAATTTTGTAGGATGTCCTGCATCTAGCCAATCATTTGCGACATGTTGTAGAAGCCTATAAGGTGGATAAAAATCATTTTGGCTATTTAGATTTTCTCTTTGGAAAAGAATTGGTACAATTGGTTATCCAGCCCATATTACAGGTTCTAGAACTATTTAAAATTAATACTACTTATAAAATAAACGTGGATGATGAAGATGATGATGATGATTATGATCCAGAAAATTATGATGATGAATATGAGTAAGATTCTGGCGCAGCAACCGCTAATACTTCTAATTGTTCGGGATGATTATAAAATTGAATAAAGGTACATATAGTTGAAATTATTTTCTTTTGATTATTTACAATCTTTTCTTCACTGTATCCACCAGAAGCGAGCGTAGTCGCTTTAAATTTAAGAGCAACGCACAAGACATCGGCCAATATTTAACTGGCTAAATGAAGTGTTCTTTGTATTTCATGGTCATGAAGTCCATCAGCAAATTTTTGGATATTTCATCACATATTCTGGAGCTAGTAGTTAGGCAAATCATACCATCTTGGCAATATCTAATTTGTATTATTGAAGGTTCTTGTCTCCTTATTGTTTGCGACTAATCAACTGTAATCGGTACACCTACTGTTCGTAGCCATAACACATGTTTAACCCTTTACTGGTACGCAAGTTTCTTCAAACGTATTTGGTATAATAGGGTGACACCGGTCATATTATCATTATTTGGTCCATTGTGGATTAGTTATGGTAAAAAATATTTCGCATTTTATTTAAAAATTAGTTAACAAAATTTCATGTATTCTTATACATGTCTTGGAAGAATAAACAGAATAAAAAATTAAAAATTTGGTTCTCAATTCAACTTTTTAAGAGTTTTGTTTACTCATTTACTGCTCCAATGATACAAACTTTTTCAGTCAACTGTAAAAGTGATTAATTGATTGGTTGATTTTCCTCACATATTTTCATCATGATGGCAAAAACCACACTAAATTTGCTCTGTGAAGTTCTCCTTGCACACATTTTTGGAGCACGCTGATCATCTGGTTAAGTATTTTTTATCTTTAATCCGAGGAGAATAGAAACATCTTTGTTTCTTTAGCTGTCTTTGTGGATAGAATTGGAATTTTTAGAATTCCAGCAATGGACTGTCTTGTATTTTTTGGCAGCTTGTTGTTTCGAATTCTTTTTCAAAATTGGAATGTACAGTTTTATGATGTCTCTGAATTTTTCCTTTTTAGCAACGGAGACCGAAATATTACATAACAAACACACATTTTTATCTTTAACTTCTGTAAAAAAGTATTATTCTTCTCATTCCGAATGAAAGTGGTATGTCTTTACCTTTTTACAACTGCTTGCCATAATATTATTTTTTGTTGTTCTCTACTAACCCAACCGCTGGACGTTGGTTACGCGTCAGAGCTGGGACGAATCCTCGAAAAATGGATTCGAATCACGAATCCGAATCACGAGATGTGATTCGAATCACGGATCCAATGTTCGAATCCTTTTTTGAAAAGGAAAAGTGATTCGAATCCTTTTTTTCGGATCACGGATACGAATCACTGTCAGTGTTATACTGTGATATTAATTATATTTCCTTTCGAATCTAATACTGTTTTATACCTCGGTCCTAAAATATTTAACGCACTTCCGGTGGAATTTAAAAACCTAAATTCGATAGGTCTTTATAGATCTAAATTGCAACAATGGATATTAACTAAACAAGGACAAATATTTTAAGATTTTATTAATTTAAATATAACTAAAATCTAAAATTATTTAGCTTAAAAGAACTTTACTTATTTGCAATTATCCAATTGTTTATGTATATGATAACTATTTATAAAATATTCAATGCTGTAGCTAATTTGTATCTATAATAAATAAAAAAACAAGTATTAGAAATTAAAAATTTAAAAAACTGACTTCAAAAATGTGCAGATGCCGTCATCACATCTTAACCAAATTTATATGGAACAACCCCTGAGGTACCCTCTTACTAACAAAAAAAGAATCATATGAATCGGACAAGGTGGTAAAGCATTATCGCTAAACACACATAAAAAATAAAGAGTTTGAGGATTTTGTCATGGACCCAATTATTAGATTTTGACCAAATTTATATGGAACCACCCCTGAAGTACCCCCTTTCTAACAAAAAAAGAATCGGTAGACGAAAATAAATCAAAACTCAAATGTGGATAGACGTAAATGAAATAAAATGAATTTAGCTCAAAGCCAATATCACACAAAATATAACGACCGTCTCCCCTTCAAAAAACAACTACTCCTTTGGCTAATACCGCAACAGGCATTGAATTACATCCGAAGGAAAGACAGCAGAGATAGAAATTAATTTTCAACACTCTCTACTTTGATTTTTCTCACCAAGGAGAACATCATTCTTGGACCGGTTTCGTCCTTATTAGGACTCCTCAGCAAGAAATAGATAGGTTCTCAATTCCAGTCTCTAATGGAATTAACAAATGCTACACATTTCACCAGTATACCATAAAGTTGGTTATGAAGAGAGTGAAATGGTGTCGCCATCTGTTCTTAGTAAGCAAAATTAAAATGCGCTGTGGTAACCACTTAGAAAACTAGGTGGAACCAAAAAGCACCAGGCGGGCAATTTGTAGACGAAAATAAATACTGATGAAATGTGTAGCATTTGTTAATTCCATTAGAGACTGGAATTGAGAACCTATCTATTTCTTGCTGAAGAGTCCTAATAAGGACGAAACCGGTCCAAGAATTATGTTCTCCTTGGTGAGCAAAATCAAAGTAGAGAGTGTTGAAAATTAATTTCTATCTCTGCTGTCTTTCCTTCGGATGTAATTCAATGCCTGTTGCGGTATTAGCCAAAGGAGTAGTTGTTTTTTGAAAGGGAGACGGTCATTGTATTTTGTGTGATATTGGCTTTGAGCTAAATTCATTTTATTTCAAAAAAAGAATCATTGATATCGGACACCGTGTTAAAGAATTATTTCTGAACATACATAAAAAAAAATATCGCGACGAATTGAGAACCTCCTCCTTTTTTGATTTGTTAATTCTGTAATCGTGCACAACGCCAAACACATCGGTTTTCTATTCAATCTTAGTCTGTTTTAGTTTTTAGTTTACAATTCGCGACAAATCAAAGCTTGAGTCGGCCGTTTGCGCCGGCGTAGTTTGGCCTCTAAAAGGATCCGAGACTGATATTGATGATTCGAATACGAATCCTTTAGGATTTTCTCTTCGAATCCGGATCACGGATCCTTTTTTTCTAAAGTAATCGAATCCCGCTCTCGGATCCTCAAAAAGGATTCGAATCCTGGATTCGAATCCTATGTGATTCGAATCCTCCCCAGCTCTGTTACGCGTTCAGTTTTAAACTAAGCGCAATGTCGCCGCGCCGTGCGTATTTATCCCGTTCAAAGCAATCCTGATCGTTCTCGAACACTAACGCGCTGGTCCGGCTGGTCGGTTCTAGCCGATTCTAGCTTGATGGCATCAGCGGCAGATCGCTCACCGCAACGTTGCCGCTGTTTATGTTTAATATTATGACAATTAGATTTTTTTGTGGAATTTTCGGAAGCTTCTCTGATTTTTGCAGTTTGTATTTTTTAAATTAAAATCGTTGTGAGAGCTACCAGAATTGCCTCCGCGAGCTACCGGTAGCTCGCGATTGAAAGGTTGGCGACCACTGATTTAGAAAGTTTTTTTAATAAATTTATTTATACTAAGACACTAATTTATTTATTAACCTAATTAAAATGAACAAGATTTATATTTTCTGAAAGATCTCTTTACTTGAACCCTCCATAACAGTAAATATGACCTACTTATACACATGTGGAGTTTCTTGATTTGTTCTCAAATTTACCAAAACTTGCTACGACCGCAAATCCTTGGCCATTTATTAGACTGACGCTTTGTCTCTGGCGACTTATGGTAAATTTTAGGACATTTCAGATCGTTATATTCACTAAATTTTCGAAGCCAATGGTTCACGACGATTGACAATAACTAACCATATTCGTCTTGCCGGAGGGATGCGGAAGTTTACTCAATTCTTTAAAAAATATTCTTGTTAACGGGAAAATGGAGGGTGGAGAAAGACTTAAAGGTTTAAAGCAGGACCCGACTGGCCGAAAATGGCTCGCACGAAAGTATTTAGGTTTTACGTAACTATTTGTTGATATTTTAGACATATTAGGTTATTAATTATTTTGTCTTTAATTTTGCATATTTAGGTAAAAATTTTACACTTAAGTCAAAAATATCACGTTCAGTGCCTATTCATCTTTTTATTTGTGGGCTCGTCTGACTTAGTCTTCGACAACACTAAAGCCTATTGTATTTGCCCTTTCTTAATTCATTGTATCCACTCTGTCACCTGAATCCCTTGTACAAGTTTGTACAAATCTTTGACAGGGTGTGTTATCCAAAAAGTGCCTGCCTTTTGCGATCCAATGCCTTGCACTTGCATAGTACGTGTTTGGCCTTGTATGGTTCTCTGTGACAGAGTCGACATAATAGGTCTCTATTATATACGCCTATTTTGTTACTGTAGCATGTCCTATTCATGGAGAGTATTTCTCGTATTCCTTTTAAAAATGGCCTTTCTCTAAAGATCTTGATATGTGCTTATTTTGTGATATTTTCCTAATAGTTGTTGTGTTTTCTTCGAACTGAGTCATCTATGAAACCTTGAACTGTACGTTTTGATACTTCAAAGTTTATATCTGGTTCCGATTCTTCGATATATTGCCATACCAGCCATGTCGTCACTTTCTGACTCGATATGGCCTTCAGGAGGCGACTCTGTCAAATAATATTGGCAGCTGCTTATTTTTGATAGCTCTCCTATTGTTTATTTTGCACATTGCAAGATTCCATAAACTTCAGCCTGAAATACTGAGGCGTGTCTTTCTATTTATTGTTAGAACCTCGACTGGATGTGATAAAGAAGTAACAATTGGTTATGTAATCTGTTCTGATGTCAAGCACGTCATCTGTCACTAAACTTAATACTTATAATACTTAATACTTAGTTATGTGACCTGGTTTAATGTTAAGATTTCTCACGGGGTCCCCTTGTAGCACAAAGTGGTGGCAAGCCCATTAGTGTTTCTATTGATGTTTAAGCTTTAACTAAAGGGGGAGGTAAAGTATCTCGGAAAACGTTTTCACCTTAGAGGTTTAGCGGTTCTAGTCCATCTAACTTTCTTCTGCAAGTAAATGAAATTATGGTTGGGACTGTTCTTGTATTATTTACTATCGTTAGATCCTATTGTATATGATCTCTACATGTAGTGTTGT